CTGTAGTACTAAGTAGCGTAACATAAGCACTCGAAAAAAAAAATTGAGCAACCTTTGCCTATAAATTTAACCAAATGCACCGTTCACGCACAGCTATGAACTCTCCACACATTTTAACAGAATTTTACCCACAGCATTATGACGCCGCATAAGAAATAAAACCACAGTCTGTACAGTTTTTTCCACGTTTAACGCTGTATTGGCACGCGTTGATTATTTTCAGGATATTTATTATCGAAACCAAGCTGGATTTTGTTTCCTTTAACGATAAACATCTTCAAAGACGACGAAAATTTGTTGCCGAACGTGACTTTCCCATACTAAACTCTTACACTGGTCAGGTTTAATGTCTGAGTCACAGCAGGGACCAGAAATTTGTGACGTCATTAGTAGAAAGCGCTATTAACATTGTTTAAGTCTGATTAAAATGCGAATAGCTTCATCTTTGAAAGGAGAACTGACACGAGAATTCTTCTTATCCGCTTTTTAATAACAACTCGCTTCTGCGAGCGGCGCATGTACGACGGTAATTAGTGTCTTGATCTCAAAGAAACATAATTATCTACAACAACCCTTCAGTTTTTAACCTTTCCTTCTCTACCTTCCTCCTTCACTTACCCGGATTCTTCTTCAGTGACATTCTGTCCTTCTGCATCATCTCCACTACTGTCACTTTCATTAACAGACTCTCCTTCAATCTCTTCTTCCGATCTCTTAAGGAATCCTCCTATAGCCTCCACACAGGCCAACTCAGCCACTTGCTCATGTACCTCGACATCTTCTTTCTCTTCTTCTGCATAATCTTCACTCTCGGTTTCCGTTTCATTTACCGCAGACTCTACGTCAACCTGTTCGTCCGATCCCCCGTGGGATCCTGCTCCCTTGTCCTCCTCAACTGCCACACCAGCCGCATCTGACTCTTCTGTAGGCATTCCTTGTAATTCAACTTCAGTTCCCTGCGCAGATACAACTTCAACGTTTCCTTCAGCTTCGATTTCAGTTGCGTCTTTCTCTTCCCCAGCATCAAGATGCGAAATGAGTGGCTCGAACAAAGGCTTCTTTTCTAAAATAGGAATTTAAAAGGTAATGACAGAAGAATTACTGTCTATTTCTACACAGTAGCTAATGGTGACGATACGTAATTGGTGTCCGTAAAGTAATCAAATGGGAAACGAAAAAAATGTTCACACACAGCAACGGGTAGTTTAAATTATGCTGAACTGACAAACTCTTGTTCCTGTTCAAAAGCAATATCCTGAAACAATATGGCTTTTGCGCTCATATACCACACATCGAATTCTCTACAATTTTGTACCGTACGGTTGTGGGCCGCCCTAGTTCATCGTTACAATGCCATCACGGTAAAATGTGTCTTATATCAGATAAATGAAATCTGCAACGACACGTAATAACCGAAGGATAAAAAGTCAGCCATGAGCTTCATCAAAGTGATAAATGTGGTACATTTAATGACGATGATAATTATAGCCCCATTAAAACCAAAAGAAAGATAAAACATCATAAACTAAAAGACATGGGTAGGATAATTTAACAAAAATCATAATCATATGTTACCTTTGAGTTTTAGAGTGGCCCTAGGTTGTTTCTTCTCTCTCAAATTCTAACAAGAAAAATTAATAAAGACATATTGGATTAAACAGAATCCATCAAGAAATTGAGTAATTTTAATTGTCAGTAGATAAAAAGACCTTTTCAACTTTTCAAAGGATGTAGATATAATTAGTTATCTGTAATAACAGTAAAAACAATTTCTCATGGGAGTCCGAGGAAACATGTTTTAAATTTCCCAGGAATTGTGAAAACAAAGGTAAAATTTCATGTGTAAGGTTTAATTTTGTTAAAATTTGAAACTTTTTTTCTCAGGATCTCATGCGAAATTTTCTTTGGTGTTATTACAAATAACTAATTACATCTATAGCCCTTGACAAGTGTAATAAAGAATGCAATATGCTTTAAATTATTCTGGTAGAAGGTTTTTGTACACTGAAAATTAAAATTACTCAATTTCCTGATAGATTCCATCTTAATACCTTAGAAACTAACATAAACATGAGCACGTTTAACGTGCACGAGCTATTTTGAATGCTTCAGTGTAACCGTATCAACAATCTACCGTTCTAATCCTAAATTAAGAACTATTTTTGTGCGAAATTGGGTATCGCTGTACATTAATGAAAACGCGAGCCGCTGCGTACAGCTAAGTCGATCCTCATACTATGGATTCACTTTTCTTCGTTTTTCCTCCCCACATCTGCTGCAAAATAAACAAATTGTTTAAGCACTATGAATATGTCATACCTCGACACTTCGCGTCTCGGTATATGCCACCGCTATTCACCTCCCCTTTAGGGGATAGTTGTAGAATATTTATTGATTCATGACACATTTTAAAGTCAATTAAAAAGTTGAATATTTAACCAGACTTCTCCATAGCTGAAAAGAAACATATTTGTTCTTTGTGCGATTTGAATCTATTAAACATTCACATCCATATTTAAATGTTTCGACATAGTTTATACCATAACCTACGCGGAAACATACTTGCTCTGGTGGATCTAATCTCTCCTCTTTGTACAATGTGGCTCCAGAGGGACCGCTAAAAAATTAAGAAATAAGGTATCGTTACATCTGCGTTGGACATCATTCAGAGGGCAAATTCATTTACAGCATATAGGTATAACCGACGCATTTGCCTGTTAAAACAAAACTTCTCACAAGCAAATAGCCTGGTTATGAATTCACCGTAAAGGTATGGACAAAGAAGGAGATAAATTACTAACATTTAGGGCAAGCCTTCAAGCAAAAAAAAATTCTCACTCAAATACTGTCAGTTTACCTTTCCAAGTTTCCACGGTCTTCGCCTCGCGGCAAATGCACCCTGATAACTTTGAAATTAGGTGTAGAGTCTGGCAGGCCGATGGCGAAAACACGGTTGAAGGGACAGGCTGCTAAACAGATCACGCGACTTTCCACATCAATTTCAGTTAGAAGTTCACCAGATTTAACGTCAAACAGCTGAACGGTTAAAATAGAACCAGAAATAACACATGTGTCGTCACTGATAAACGTACAATGCCATAAATGGGAAAATCTAGAAGGACGTAAAATATGGAGCGTGTCATTACAGAAACGCGCCCATTCAAAAACGTCGATCGTGAAAATGCAAATAAGTGAAAAATGACGTTAATTTAGTGTCAATCAAGAAACCCCCTGGGTATATCCCTTTCCTGGTTATTGTTCCTGCTCAGACATCCGCAACATTTGCCTATTCTTCGATGAAGAATAGAACTTTATGCGACTAACAATAGCTCAGTCTGTTTAAAAACTGTCTAAATTTACTCCGAATTAGCATGTGACTTTTTGCTGTTAAACGCTTCAAAATTGAAAAATCCTCGATGATTGTTGTTGATTTTGCCGTAAATAATTCAATGCACTGACTTAAAATGAATTTTTACCTTTTACAAACTTCTTGGTGTTCGAATCGATCGATGAAATATGAGCGCAACCGATGCGTTAATAGTTTGTTTACATTTTGTCACGGGTTTTGGATAATATTATAAACCTTAAAATTTACGGGCAAATTCGACGAAAAAGCACTCTCACTTACATTCTTCATTTAAGATATTGATTTTAGCAAAGTATAAGGCAAAATTAAGAGCGATACTTTCTTTAAGAACGCTATAACTACATATTTAACGGCCAAACCTAGACAGCGATCTAATCCGTCTCTTGAAAACAACTACAATACCGCTTCTGATAATAATATTTATAAACGCTGCAAACATTTTTATTCAATCTTATCGAGTGATTTTCGTGAAGATGAGTTTTTAAGTGAAGAATACTTTGGTTTCTGATTAGCTTTAACTGTTTTGCCATCAAAACGATTCGCACGAGACTACCGAATTCGCGAGGGTTTTATGTTAGTGCACGAGGAAGAAAAATGCTTCTCTTTGCATAAACTTGAAGCACTGACAAAGACATTCCAACACTTAAAACAATGGCAACCTACTTCTATTGTTTCTGCATTGTCTCTTGAGGTGTGAGAATAGTTAACCGCTATGAAGTTCATAAGAGACCGAAAACGACGGTAGTCGCAAAGCCTAATGGGTACCCCACTTTTCACGGGCGACGTTTTTCAATGGGCGCGTTTCTGTAATGTTCCTGTTTCTGCATCCAAGACTAAGATGTTGCCAGTCGTGCTAATAACAAGGAACTGTTCCATAGGTGAGAAAGCCACACCCTTGTCATCAGGGTACCTGTTAATGCCTTCCTTTTCCCAAACAACTGTTTTGCCATCCAAAAGCTGAAGAGAGTAAGAACAAGGACGAAAAAACTGAGCTGCCTCAAGAGTCCTTTGAATTAACAGCTGACAGTAACTGTTGCAAGTAAGAACTTCTCCTTGTAAAAGTAGGATTGTTGACACCACTTTTCCACTGATTGTATCTAAGACTTTCACATCAACCTCTCCTACGACTGCTACTCGTTCCTCTGATATAGGGATCAGTTGTTTGACTCCAGGCAGGTAGGTCGACCTTTTGATTCGTTTAGCGAGGTTACCACTCCACAACTCAATAGTGCTTTTACTCGTTAAGATTAGGACTCCACCACTAACAGGACACAAAGGAAGGTACAGTATCCACCTGCAGTTTATCTCAGCTTCAATCATCCCACTCAACACGTCATAAGCAATAACTGATGTCTCACTTGCAACAAACACGGTCTGACCATCCAAACTGAGTGCAATCCCATTAGCTGAAGTAGCTACGCCTTGATCGTTTATTTTTACGTATTTACTATCCACCATTTGTATTGCATTCAAAAAGAAAAGTAGCAGACGTTGCTTGTCAAGACCAAACGTCAATCGATACTGATGATCTTTTGTGGTAACAAGATCGCCAAATAAAAACCCACAGTCATTAAAAGATTCAAAAGTCTCAGAATCACCAGACACAATCGTTAACGAAAATGTGTTGTTTGCTTCCTTTACAACCTTGAGACAAAAACAGGAGTGTCGACGTAAGTCTTCTACAGCGCAACAAAAAATGAATCGTTGATCAGGTGAAAACTTTACCATGCCACATACTTCTGGGGTGGTCATTTGTGTTAGTTTTCTGAAATTACACATCACATCATATAAACTAATCAGTCCCGAAAAATGTGAAATTGCAAGAAGCCTTCCATCACCAGACCATGCAAAAGATAAAATGTGTTCATCTTCAAGGATTCGATCAACCTCTGAGCCATTTTCTGAACTCCACAAGACAAGGCATTTAGAACTCTCAAGACAATTAGTTAGAATCTTGGTCTTGTCGCCTGAAATAGAGCAAACTGAGAATCTACAGTTGCATCCGGGAAAGAGCGGTTTCAAGTCTCCGTCCATAGTATAGGCCTGACTTAGAATCCCAGGTAAAATGCATTCCTTTGTAGGGTGAAAGAGAACAGAGCGTAATAATAAAAACGCGTCTACTGAAGGTAGTTTTCTACACACGAAGGACCACCCAATCCTCTTGAAACTCTTCTCTACTACTACTGGACGTGTCCACACTAGCCTGCCAGTCTGGAGTGACCACAGCTGCAGCATTCCGTTGTCACATTCACACACCATATAATCCAACTGTGGAGAGACGTCCAAACAGATCACATCAGATGAACAGTCAAATCGGGCTACAACACTTCCCTGCCGCGTCTCCTTATGAACAACCCCCATATATGGTATTTCAGGATATTTATTTCGCAAAAGATTTGACGCCTCAACAGTCAACACTTTTCCTCCTTGGTTAAGTATGGTTTGAAGAAACGTACGAGGGTTATCTCTAAGCAAACGGAGGTTCTTCCTCAATAAAAACAACAAGGTGTCCACAATACTTTGGTTATCTTTTGATAACAATGTAAAAATCCCCTGCTCTTTAAACCACAAAAGGTCTTCAGTCGCTAATGTGCTGTTCACGAAGGTCTTGGCACACACTACTTCTAAATCAATAATGTAGGCCTTTGTCACTTCGTCCAGTTTATGTGGCTCTCTCTTGACGCCTTCGTGTAGCATGTGATGTGCACCATGATACAAAGCGTACATCTCAGTGGCGCTAAACTGAAGGTTATCGACACCTTTAAGCTTCACATTTTCAAGTTCTTTAGTGCACAGGTACGCAAGTAAGCGATGACCCTCGTTTTCATCAATGATGAATTCGTGCTCCCCATAACATGAAATGTCGGTTAACCAGTCTTTAACTGACTTACGAATGACGTGAACACAATCGTCACGGATGGGCAGAAGTGCAGACACACTGCCCAAAGCTCGCAGCAGTTTACGTTTTGTTAGTGGTGAATCGGTATCTGGTACTAATACTTTAGAAACAAACCCCACTGGCAGGGGCTCCCTTGAAGCGGTAATGGCAGATAACAGATCAAGAAAATGTTCTTCCCTTATGTTGAATTCAATAAAAAGTTCACGTTCCAACGTTTAAAATAGGAATGATACACGACAGAAATTCCTGAGGGTGAACTGCCGACAAGGTCTCCCTCGTGGAAAATTGATGGATTTTCCGTAACCGCCAATACGAGAAAATGAGCGTACAGCATCAGTCCTTCAGATTTCAACACTAGTTGCTCTATGAACTCACTCATATTCTCTAGTTTGACCACGCGTTGAAGTCTTTTTAGGCAAAATACTCTGACGTCTTCTATATTCTCTGCATCATTAGATCTTAGTTCAAGCGGCTTTAAATGTTTTAGTTTCTCTGCAATGTGTAAGGCTGGACGCGTCGTGACGAGAAAGCGAATCCAAATAGGAAGCTTGCAAAACTGATTTGCAATCACATCAAGAAGTTCATTCTGTCCTTGATATTCGCTTTCATCCAAGCCATCTATCACCATGAGCATGTTTCTTCCTGGATCACCTACAGCACTGAGAGGTTTCTTGAAAAGCAACGCAAACAACTCCTCCACACCCATATTGTTGAGATCTGTACCCAGATTTCTTGACAGCTGTTCTGCTAGAACGTGCTTGTACTCTGGCAGGGCATGAGATAAGTGACGAGAAAGTGACTGAATCATCAACTGAGGTTTCGAGTAGCGTACATTGTTATACTGACAAAAGCAACTTCCTGATAGTCTGCCAGTCTCTTGCATTCGCTTACAAATCACGGCTGAGATGACAGATTTTCCCATTCCTGCATTTCCACTGATCACCATAACACGGTTTTGAGAGCTTCTGTCATTCAGCCAGTTCTGAACTCTGTCAAAGACCCACTCACGGGTGCCTTCTTGAAATCGCTCCGTATAATACTCAATGTCTCCTCCGAATTCCGACTTAGCAAGTTTTTGAAGGACCTCTTCTGACCTGTCCTTGTTTCTTCCGTCTCTTAAACTCTTCACTGTTTCTTTTACTTCCTTGAGACCTGCTTCAACCTCTTTCACGTTCTGACAAACTTCATCAACGCTTTGCAGTGTCTTGGCCTGGTCCAGACGTACATCCTCAACTGCTTGATTCGTTTTGCTCTGAGACTGATATATGTTCTTCAACTGTGACTTGAGTAGTTATAGAAATGGTTGTTCTGGGGCACTTTTCTGGAGCAGCTAATTTAAATAAAATTGATAAAATTCCTGAATATGTGGGACAATTCCGTAAAGAGTGGCTTTTTGTAAGAGGTGTTAATTATAACTTAAGGATTTACGTTTTATAATATAAGCTTAATATTATAAGACGTCATGTCTAACCAAACAAATGGTTTTCAGGGTTCTCAACCCTTTATAACAGATAAACAATTTCAGAATTTGTCTTTGGATGAAATAAGACATATAATACAAGAAGAAAGAGAAGAACTTAAGAAAGATTATAATGAATTAGAAGAAAGAAGAAAATTAATTAAACAATATCAAAAATTACAAAAAGCTAGAGAGAAAGTTAGAAAAGGAATTGATATAAAAAAAGAAAGGAAGAAAAAAGTAAAAAAAGAAATTAAGAAGAAAAAGATAAAATCATTTGAAGACTATTTTGAGGAATGTATAAAAAATAAAGAGATACCACCAGATACTCCTTCTTATTTACGTGAAGCTCTTGAGAGAGCTATTAAGGAACACAATCAAGGACTAATTAAAGAAAAATCATCTTTGGAAAACTTTGCTAACAAATATGTTATTAAAGGAGAACCTGGATTATCTCCAGTTGATTTTTTAAATAAAATTTATAATACTTTAGAAGAATTTTTTACATATCACAGAAACATAAAATTTAATATGCTTTTGGTTTGTTTAATGGAACAACAATTACTTAGTAAAGATCAAGGAGTAATTGGATTGAATGAAAGTAAGGCTTACTTTACATCAGGAATTCGAAAAAATTTAAAGTCAACAGATTTAAGTGAATTAATTGATATTTCTTATAAAAGAATTCTTGGTGATTTTGATGCTTATCAAGAAAATGGAAGTGGATGGTATTTTAAAGAGGTAGTTCAACTTGAAATTCATACTGTTGAGTTTAATCCATCTAAGGGATCATCTTACATTCCTCTCCCAGACTGGATATCAAACAAAAAAGCAATTGTTAATATTCAAGACAAAGATGAGAAATGCTTTCTTTGGTGTATACTTAGATGTCTTCACCCAAGAGAAAGAGATGAACAAAGATTAACAGGTTTAAAAGAATATGAAAATTCTCTTAATACTAAAGGAATTAGTTTTCCAATGAAATTAAAAGATATTACAAAATTTGAAAAACTTAATCCAGAAATTCCAGGTATTAATGTTTTTTCAGTTAATGAAAACAAAATTTTTTATCCTTTGAGAATGGCAGAGAGAGATTGTTTAAATACTATTGATTTATTTTTGTACGAAGAAGATGGAGTTTCACATTACACACTAATCAAAAATTTTCATCGTTTGATTAAGTCTCAAAAAACTAAAAGTCTTAATGGCCAAATATTTATTTGTAAAAGGTGTTTTACACATTTCGCTCAAGAAGAATTATTACAAAAACATATCTTATACTGTTCAAATAATGAAACAGTTTCTGTAAAAATGCCAGAAGAAGGTACAATGTTATATTTCAAAAATTATGAAAAGCAACTTCCAGTTCTTTTTGTAGTTTATGCAGATTTTGAATGCTTTACTAAATCAATAAATACTTGTACTCCTAATCCAGAAAAATCTTATAGTTGCAACTATCAAAAACACGAACCATCAGGATTTTGTTTTTACATTAAAGGAATAGTTCCTGATAAATCATTTAAACCAATTATTTACACAAAGACTAATGATAGTGATAATGTAGCATCAATATTTGTTAACAAACTTTCAGAAGTAACAAAAAGTATATATAATGATTTTTATCGCCGTCCAAAACCACTTAGGTTAAATAAAGAGGAACAAAAATCATTTGATAAAGCGGAAATTTGTCATATTTGTAGTACAGAATTAAAAGAAGATAAAGTAAGAGATCATTGTCATTTTACCGGAAATTATCGTGGAGCAGCACATAACAAGTGTAATCTTATGTGTAAAAAACCAAGAATACTACCAGTTATATTTCACAATCTTCAAGGTTATGATGCTCATTTGTTTATAAAACAACTTGCTTGTTTACCAGGTGAGTTAAATTGTATTCCATCTACGGAAGAAAAATATATTTCCTTTTCAAAAAGATTAAAGTTGGTGAGTATAAAGATAAATATATAGCGGAATAACTTTACCAATAAATTTTGAAATAAGATTTATAGATTCATTCAAGTTTCTTCAAACATCACTTGCCAATCTTGTTTCAAATTTACAACCAGATGATTTCCTTAGTACAAAACAAGTATTTAAGAAGGATGTAAAATTATTAACTCGAAAGGGAGTTTATCCATATGACTATGTTTCATCACTCGAAAAACTATCCGAAACACAATTACCACCAAAAGAAGAATTTTATTCAAAACTGAATGATGAAGATATAAGTGATGATGATTATCAACACGCTATTAATGTTTGGAATACTTTTGAGTGTAAAACAATTAGAGATTATCACGATCTTTACCTAAAGTCTGATGTCCTACTTTTGGCAGATGTATTTGAAAACTTTAGAAAAACTTGCCTCAAACATTACAACCTAGATCCAGCACATTATTACACATCTCCTGGACTAGCTTGGGATGCATGTCTTAAAGAAACAGGTCAAAAATTACAGTTATTACATGATTATGATAAGTTAATGATGTTTGAGCGTGGTATTCGTGGAGGAATATCCCATATATCAAAAAGATATGCAGAAGCAAATAGCAAATATATGAAAGATTATAATCCTGATAAAGAGTCTACTTATATTCAATATCTTGATGGAAATAATCTATACGGTTGCGCAATGTCACAACAACTTCCTACACATGGATTCAGTTGGATGAAAAATATAACAAAAGAAAAAGTGATGGACATCCTAGATAAGGCAAATCATAGTATGTCAAATCGTGGAAGAAAAGGTTATATATTTGAAGTTGATTTGGAATATCCTAAAAAGCTATGGAAATCACATAATGACTATCCTCTTGCACCTGAGAAGATGATTGTTAATGGTGTTGAAAAACTTATTTGTCATTTTAAACCCCGAAAAAACTATGTTGTACATTATCGTAATCTTAGACAATATCTTGAGATGGGAATTAGGCTTACTGCTGTTCATAGAGGAATATCATTTTACCAATCTTCTTGGATGGAGCCTTACATAAGAAAAAATACAGAACTTCGAAAAACAGCAGCTAACAGTTTTGAGAAAGACTTTTTCAAACTAATGAATAATAGCGTTTTTGGAAAGACAATAGAAAACATAAGGAAAAGACAGAATATAATTCTTATTGATGATCGTAAAAAAGCTGCAAAACTAACAAGTCGTCCAAACTTTGATAGAGCAACAATATTTGATAAAAATTTAAATGCAGTTCACATGAAAAAAACAGAAGTTTATTTTAACAAACCAGTATATGTTGGTCAAGCAATTTTAGATTTATCAAAAACATTAATGTTTGATTTTCATTACAATTATATCAAAAAGAAATATAGAGACAAAGCTGGTAGACAGATTACAAAATTTATTGGTCTTCGGCCAAAGCTTTATACTTTCAAGATAGAGGATGGGAGTTTAACCAAGAAGTGTAAAGGTGTAAAAAAGAGTGTTGTAAAAAAGAGAATAGATTTTGAAAATTATTTTGAGTGTTTATTTACCGGTGAAAAGCAAATGAGAACTATGAAAATCATAAGAAGTGAAAATCATGACATTTACTCAAAGGAAATAAATAAAATAGCTTTGAGTAGTGAAGATGATAAGCGGAAGGTCTTAGAGGACAAAGTAAAAACCCTTGCTTTAAGATAATAAGATAATAAATAATAAATGTCGTATACAGAAGATCAAATAAAAAAATATCTAGAAATATTACATAATTATAATAAACCAGTGGATGTAAGTAGAAAAGCTAAATGTAGTAATTGTCAAAGCAATAGTTTTTGTGTTGAATCAGGTTATAATATTTGCGATTCCTGTGGAACAACTAATGGTCATGTTCTTGGTTATTTTGACTTTAAAGAATACGATCGATTTCATTTTCGAAAAAAGAGTATTTATCAGAGAAAGTATCACTATGAGAAAAAGGTTGATCAAATTTCCAAAAGACTACATCTAACTGATAATGAAAAGTATGAACTTTATAACAAACTAATGATAATAGATAATCACGTCATGGAAATACTAAACAAACAATTTTGTAGAAAGAGAATGATAAACATTTTTTATCTAATCAAAAAACTTTTGGAAGAGATGGGTTGTGAAAAGTACAAACTAGTTTATCTAAAGATTAGTCCCCAAACTTTAGAAAATTATGAAAAGTGGTGGGATAGTTACAAATTACTAATTTGTGAAAGCACCAGTAAATAATTTTATATTTTTAAAAATATAAAATTTAATCTTCTAAGTAACTATATCCACTTTCAAATACTCTAAAAATATCTAAAAATGCTTTTGTTTTATAATATAGATCTCCATCTATTTCATAATTTAATTTTAAAGATTTAAGAGTTTCATATATTCCTTCTGTATCAATACCCTCATTTTCCATAGCACTTTTTACAAGTTTTGATAAATATTCAACTTTAAATTTTTTTCAAAATATGAACTATTTTCACCAATTATTAATATGTTATCTAGGAATGGTTTAACTAATACTTCTCTTTTTTCTTCTGTTATTTTATACTGTCTGTGTAATGTATTAATATGATTAAAAGTAAGATTTTCTAGGAATTCTTTTTGTACTTCTTTCATTTCTTTAAATTCTGAGAGTATATACTCATCATGTAAAAATTTAAACATTTCACTTAATACTTCTTTACCAAGACGTTTTACATCTTTTTGTTTTATAATAACAGCTGCCATTTTATTTATAGATTTATATTATTTTAATCCTTTATGAAAAATCCAATATATTATTCCAGTTAGATAACCTAATACTTCACTATTTATTGGAGAGTCAAATGTGTATACACATCCTCTTCCAATTTTGTAATGTTTATGAAAAGATTTAAAAGCCGCGTAAAACATTAGATGATTTTTTAGAATAGGATTATTAGATTTAATAGATCTATCTTCTATTCTATAAATTTTTTTTTCTATATTTATATTTTCTTTAAAATAAACTTCGTATAAATATCTATAAATGAGTGATGTTTTTATAAGATTTTCAGGATAGGGAAGATGTTTGTGCAAAGGATAATAATAGTTAACATAATGCACAATTGTGTTTAGCATTTTATATTATGGATTATAATATCCTATAAGTTTAATTAAAAAATAAATAAGGCTTAAAGAAATAAAATTAAAATATAAATGCAAGAGAAAAAATTCATTAACCAGCAACTTGGAATAAAATTTAACTCATACATTGATGAAGACTGTAAAGTTTGGTTTAAGGGAAAAGAGGTAGCTCAAATACTTGGGTACAAAAAAACACGTAATGCAATAGAAAAACATGTAAGTAAAAAATATAAAAAGGAGGCCCCAATTCGGGGCCCCCTTGGAGGAGAACAAAATTGTATAATAATCAACGAAGCAGGTTTCTATGAACTTGTTTTTAAATCTAAACTTCCAACTGCTATTTTTTTTAGAGAATGGGTTTTTCCAAAGTACTCCCATCAATTCGTAAATATGGCTATTTTAAAATGTTTAAATCCAAATTAAAACAAAGAGTAATAATTGAAGGAGTAAAATACTACAGACATCCAGTTTTTAGTAAATACGCTGCAAGCAAAAATGGAGAAGTAATAAATGTAAAAACTGGAAGAATTATTAAAATGATAAAATCTAACGGTTATTTATATTTTAACATTTGTGATAAAAAACTTGAAAAACCAAAGAATTACTAGCAACATCGTTTTGTTTTTGACGTTTTTCGAGGGCCAATTCCACGATTTTTTGAAGTTGATCACATAAACGAAATTAAATCAGATAATAGAATCAAAAATTTGCAATTACTTACACATAAGCAAAATGTTGAAAAAAGTAAAAATAAAACAATTATTTCTATTAATATTGAAACTGGAGAGGAAAGAAGATTTATATCTATTAAAAAAGCGGCTATCGAATTAGATATTAATGCTTGTAATATTTCTAGTATTTGTAGAAAAAAATCTAAAACAGCTAAATCAAAAAAAGATGGGTATAAGTATACATTTAAGTTTTTAGATTAGTTTTCAATATTTATCTAAATATTGAAAAACAGATAAATCTAAAAAAGATAGAAAAAATAAACATTTAAATATTTTATTCTTCTAAACTTTTTTTTTGATTTTTTCTTGTTTCAAATAAGCTATCTAAACAATATTTAATACTTCTTAGATTACTAGTATTATATTTAAATTGTCTACATTTATTAAACAAATCTTTGAGAATTTAGAGAATTTTTTCTATAACTTAACAAAAAAATACAATAAGATTCAGCTTTTTCGATATCAAATTCTTTATCATCTTTAATTAAAGAATCGATTTCTTTACAGATTTCTCTAGCTTCTTCAGCCAAAGTTGATTTGTAACTATCAATTAATTGTTCTTCAAATTTTTCAAATCGATCCATTTTATTGCTAGTAATTTAATCTTTAAACCTTTATATTAAATTTTTCATTATACCTACTAGCAAATCTATCTGCTATAGGAGACTGATCAATTATCATTTCATCTATTAGTTTCATACGATCAACAAAATCTTCTTTACTCCACTCATCACCTCTAAGAGCTGCACGAAGTTCAACGAGTACTTTTTCATAAGTAGTAAATGCAATTCTTGACATTTCAATTTTTCTTTTGTAATTCTTTTTCTTTCCAATTCCCGCCACGACAACTCCAGCACCATTTACAACTCCTAGAACAATGGGGTTTAGTGTAATCCCACCAGTAATAGTTCCTATTGCAACCAGGCATATTCCAGAAATTGTAAACACGTCATCAAGAAATTTGTAACTCTTATAACACTTTTTGTAACACCAGTATTTCTTGTGATAGTGACTATAAAAGTCTTTTAGAGTTGTGACGTCTGATTCTGACAGAGATTTATCAATGTGATTAAATTCGAAGATATCTTTCATTTATTATTTACACTATATAACTTCCACTTAACTTTTCTTGAATCAATACTTTGTGGAATTGAGTAGTCAGTGTCGTAAAAGATTGTAGAGTACATTAATCTTAATAACACTCCATCTTCAGTTGTAAACTTCCAACGTTGATTAGTATTGTAATTAATAGCTGGTATAGTTAATGTTGCGCTGTAGTTACTTATTGAAACTTTTGTGACATTTGAATTAAAATCTTCTGCCAACCATAAAACAATTATTTTTCCGGTAAAACTACTTAGCATGGTAAAATTTTGAGTTGTTTTGTTGACAGTTAAAGTTACTTTATTGTTTGATTTATTATAATCCAATTTTACTAAAATATTATTGTTTGTTGATAAATATTTAGTTAGGGTAAAA